TGGTAGGCATTCCAGCTTATCTAAATATAACAAAATTATATTATATAAACAAGTAAATTGAATCTTAAAAACATAGGCATAAGAAACATTTTTGGTTTAATAATTTTAATTTCCAAGGTTCTTCTTCTTTGTATCTTATCATTTACACTTACACTATTTCCTAGATAAAGTCATTATAGTTCTTGTACTCTTTCCTGTCATTGCCTTTCACTGATTTGTAAAGTAGGTAACTGTTTTAAATTAAGTTGCCTAAAATGGTTTCTTCAATTAGAGCTTATAAATATATGAGATGATGTAAACTGTAACCATGGTTAATATTCTCCTTATAAGTACAGAAAATATTTATGAAATACACATTTTCTTTCTTGAAAACAATCATTTATTAGTTTGTGGTTGAACATATATTTTATTAGATCTTTTATTCCTATTATTTCATAGCTGTCCAATCGACTTTGTTAAATACATTCTCTCATCGTTACCAGATTCCTCTCTGGCCTCTACCGTTTTATACCATAGCAATGATCTATTGTTCGATGGTTCAGAGCACAATAAGAATGAGACGTCTGAGATATTGCATGTTGAACTTACACTCTTCGAGTACAAGGCACCTCTGTTATGAGGAAGCATTCCTACTCCCTAGGTCCTCCTAGAACGACCCAGTGAATAACTAACTTGGCCGGTGGGAGTTTTAATTTGGCAACTAACTGGTTGAAGTCCTAGCAATCCTCAAGGTATTTAGCTTTTCCAAATGACTGGAGTATAATTTTCATAACTGGTTTTGAAAAGGGGTGAGTGAATAAGAGGATAGGCAATTGAACCACAAAAAGATATATTATTACCGAGATAAACAATTATTATTTAAGGTACCATTTGGGAATGCGAGACCGAGGCACGAGACCGAGGTAAGCGACCGCGTAACGCGACCGAAATGCCTTTATTTACGTCTGAATTATATAAAGTACATTTGGGAACGAGCGACCGATTCAAAAAACTGCGACATCGCTTTCAACACCGTTCGGAGCAGTGTCTGCTGTCTTACTGCCTGTCGCGGTCGCTTGCATCGGCCTCGCGTTCTCAAATTGTATTTGTAGGGAATAAACAAACGTACTTCGGTTAAGTACACCTTTGTAAGTCTCGATTTTACCGAGTTCTAAATGAGAGCAAAAAAACTTTTATTAATATTTATCTTATCGCATTTATTAGAAATAGTAAATTACCATATGCCATAACGTGTTCTAATAAATTCACATTTCTATAGAATCATTTAAATGTCTAACGTCATAGGTACATTTTTTTAATTATATTATCATGATAAATACCTACCAAATATTTTAGAAATGATAGAATTGAATAAATTTTGTGGAATGAAAAAGAAAAAATAGCGAATATGTAATGTTTCTAGAATGAAAAAATGGTAAATATGTAAAAAGTAATACTGTTTGAGGTCGCATTATGTTGTCTGGAACTGTAAAGAAGGACGGGTTAAATAAATAATAAAAAAAGATTAAGTTACTAGTGAAAACTCACCATATTCACACGTAATCCTTGTGCTAATTGAGATTTTTTTTTCGTCATGAAAGATAATAAAAAAATAAAAGCTAAAATTATATAGGTTTTGTCAACAGTTCATATACCTATTGAGGTAAATATCTGCTAAATTCACCGATATGAATGTGTATGTGTATTTCATTAAATAAATACGTTTAACAATTTTCTTAAATAAAATTTTTCAGGTAAGTTTTCAGTATTTTTTTCGAACGCTTTTTCATTAATAGCCAATCTTTGCTCTTATGTAAGGTTATTAATTGACATTTATAACTTAATTATATATTTATATCTCTTACTTGCTTGCTTTTGACTTTGTAGCCTTTCTTTTTTAACCGATTAGTTAGTAGCTATTTATAATGGTAAAAATGCTTTTCATGTATTGGTTAAATGTAGATAACATATTTAAATATATATTTCATAATACTTATGATTTGAAAATTATTGTTGGAATATTGTCTATTTTATAAACGATTGTTTGATTAAAAAATAGTTTATTTATTTAAAACAGTTTATAATTTATTTATATTGTACTAATTAATTTATTTAATACTTAAGCACTATTGTAATTCACAATTCTAATTTATTTATTACAATTTTTACTATACAACTCTTATATTGAAACAACGCCTACCGACAAAGTCGCGCTATTTCTATACGGCCAGCTCTGCTCCAGTATATTCTCGGCGGTCTAAGATATCTGGGTATTCTTCCTCTGTGAGTCAGCCGGCGCGCAACTTTTTCTCTGGTAACTTCTTGACGGAGTGCGTTTGTCTCTGTCCTGTGGTATCGAAACAGACGAAGCGGCTTGCAACGGCAAGAAGCCCAGGGTCGGCTTTAGGTGGTTACACGACATTGCCTCTTTCTTAAGAGATAGTTTCTTCTGGAACTGCTAGTGAAACTGCATGGTTGTATCTTCAGTTGAAGCCTCTTTTACAATTTCCATTTGCATGGAAATAACACAGAAAGGTTTTCGCTGAAACCTGGGCACTAGGCGAATGACTTCAGACCGGTATTTGAACCTCAGTATATTGGAAGATTACTTCCACCATGTTTCTAATGATACTCCAATTCAGCTGGTTGCTCTCTATCTTGGGCAAGGCTAGTTTCCGTACATTTGTCTTCCAGTACGTACTCCCTCCAACTAAGTAATGCTTTCCATACAGCATTATAAGTGGATCGATCTCGGAAGGTGTTCTTTGTTACCAAATAGAAAATATAACGTGATCCATCTTAAAGTTTCAATGCTTTTCCAGGGGCTGGTAACTGATCTCGATGTTCTGGCAATTGGTCAAACTTCTTCCGGAATACAGATGCCAGTCCTCGACCGTCGTTGATGTTGGCGAAAGGGCTATGGACCAGCGAGTAGTCTTTATAAACCGTGAACAGATATTGTTGTTGCTCGGTTGTAACAACATATCTTGCTTTTTCGGTACCTCCACATGCACCCATAAATTCTTCAAACTAAGATCAGGTGTTTCTTGGAGGTGGTTTACTTCTTCTCCCTCGTCATGGTCACCCTCAAATGTCACCAGCTGTTTTTGTTGCATTACCTTCGGTTTACCGTTCAAGCTCTTACTTATACGGTAAATAATATCATAAATTTTTTTCTTGATGATATACGGACTTTCCCAAGACCTTTGAAGCTTCGGAGAATAGCCCTTTTGTCTTTTTGGGTTATGGAATAAAACTTTGTCGCCTTCTTTGAAACATCCTTCTGTGGTTTGGGTATCGTATCGCTTCTTCATTCTATCGCTGGCGATTTGAAGTTACGTGCGAACCAACTCATCATGCCGTCCATTTTTCTTCGTAGCTGAATCACATAACCTTCATCAGCTATGTCTTCTCTAGGTCGGCATCCAAACTCGAGGTCACACGGTAGTCTTATCTCACGCCTGAATAGCACCTTTGCTGATGTTTGGCCTGTAGATTCATTGATCGTGGATCTATATGCCATCGCGAAGAGCGAAAGATACTGATCCCAACATCACTGATGGTTGGAAATCACTTTTGACAGGTATTTGCCAATTGCCTTATTCATTTGCTGTGCCATTCTATCCGACTGTAGGTCCAATGCCGTAGTTCTGGTTTTCTTTATGCCTAATCTGTCACAGATTTCTCGGGAAAGCTGGCTTTCAAAATTTCTGCCTTGGTCACTGTAGATCTCCAAGGGCACTCCAAATCTACTGATAAATTATTTTACTAACACGTCTGTTAAAGTTACGGCCTCTTGATTTGGAATGGAGTAGACTTCCACCCACTTCGTGGAATAATCCATAACCACCATCATATATTTAATACCATCGTCGGGCATGGGAAATAGTCCAGCAATATCCAAAGCAATCCTTTTGAAAGGGCTACCGACGTTGTTCTGCTTCATGGGGTCCTTCCTTTTTTGTTGGGGTCCGTTACTCGTAGCACAGGTGGTACATTTCTTACACCAGTCCTTTACATCATCGAAACTGTTCATCCAAAATAACTTTCACGAACTGTCTGAAGGGTTTTCTTAACACCGAGATGGCCTCCTGATGGACTGTCGTGTAACTGACGAAGTACTTCGGTTACTCTAGTCTTTGGACTGACCAATTGTCTTCTATTTTCGGAACCATCATCATTCTCTAGTATTCGCTTTAATAAGCCTTCTTCTAGTTTGAAGGAGTCCCACTGAGCCCAATATGACCTAACTATTGGAGAGAGTTTCGATACTTCTTGCCAAATAGGCCGACAATTTTCCTCTTTCCATTGTCGCATCTGCTTTAAAACGGGATCGTTTTCTTGTTCTTCCCTAAGTTTGACAGGGGCCCACTCATCGTTGACAACCATTGCTCGTCGTACTGTAACTTCCTTAACAGATGTGGCCAATACTTTTCCAAACAGAGTTCCAACCAACACCTCCATTGCACTTCGAAGGTTTCACCATGACAGGCGCTCCTCTCTCCACAGTTTCTTGCAATCGCGTTACTCTTATGGTTTTACATCTATCAGGCACCACTGTTCCTTCCTGTACCGCCACCGGCGCGGTTTTTTGATTCGTAGTGTTCTTTGGGCATGTGCGCGTTTGCACGAACTGCGTACATTTCCCATTTCACTGCAATTCCAGCACCTAATAGTCTTCGGCTGCTTCTCAATAAGGCATTTTATCATAATGGGTCAAACTTATTTTCCCGTTCTTCCTCTTATACAGTCATTACTTCACTGTGTTCACCAGAAGCCAGCGTAGCCGCTTCATATTCACGAGCAGCGGACAAGACATCTACTAATGTTTTGTGACGCACTAAACAAAATGTTCTTTGCATTTCATGTTCACGAAGTCCATCAACAAATGCTTGAACATCCAAACATTTAATCATGTAATCTGGAGCTGGTGGGTAGGCAGATCACACCATTTTTGCAATATAAAATTCGTATTCTTGAAGGCTCTCGTCACGTTTCTGCTTGCGATTCTTTAACTGTAATCAGTACAACTGCTCCAAGTGTTCGTGGCCATATCGTTGTTCAAAATCATCTTCTTCTTCCACGGGTATAGTCTGAAAGACATCTAAAGCGTCTCCTCGAAGGGCAATGGTCAAATTTATCTTTTCTTTTTCAACTCATTCGTTTGCTCTGGCAGCGGTTTCGAATTGTTTAAGGTAATTGGTCCATGACACATTTCCGTCGAAAGTTGGGGCTTTAACACTAACAGAGTTTACAGTTCTTTCCAATTTCAACTTTGACTCCACCTCATAACACTTTATTTCACTGTCCTTGGCGTGTTCTATGTGTTCAATTTCTTCTATATTCTTCTCCGTCTCCTTTATTTTCTTCTCAACGGAAGTAATTATTTTCTCCTCAACGGAAGAAAACTAATTTTCCATTGAAGAAATTTCGTTTTTAATAGAAGTCATATCTGAAGAGATTTCATCTTTTAAAAAAGAGATTTTGTTTTCCAAATCGGAAGAAATTATTGTTTTTAAAGAAGATATATAAGAAGACATATAGTTTTTAAAAAAGAAATGTCGAAAGAAACTTTGATTTGTAAAGAGGAAATTATAGAAGAAGCATCGTCCGAAAATATATACGTTTCCGGATCCAAACCTTCACTTTCTATTGATTTTTTAAGCCGTTCTCTCAGCTCTGCTTTCTTCCCTGTCGTCTCCAACTCACGATCTTCTAATTCCCGATGTAACTCCGTCACTTTTAAATCACTTAGTTTTTTTAGCCATTTTTGTCCACTATTTGTTTACAGTTCCACTTCTAACACCAATGTAACGATTGTTTAATTTAATAATAATGTATTTATTTTTAACGTAATTAATTTATTTATTATTTAAGCACTGTTATAATTCACAATTCTAATTTATTTATTACAATTTATCTTTACTATACAACACTTATATTGAAACTTAACGTTCTTCGTAACTTTTTTTAATATAAATATATTTTTAGTAAATGGTCTTTCCATATATTAAATCGATTCTATTCGTTCTCTTATTTTAATATGTCCTCTCTTATTCTTTCTATATGTTTGTGATTTAATATTTCGTCTGATGCATAAATGAACCAATTATTTCACAAATGACATGAGTAACAAAATATTTGAAAGTGAGAAGGCCTCTTCAAATAAATTTAGAACGGTTGATATAGAGAGGGCTGCCTTAAAAAATCATACTCCACTAAATCTTGTTTTAAATAACCGCTGTAATACAAAAAATGAAGAAACCACTTATCTTCTAACTTCTAAATAAAATAATAAAATGAAGAACCTGGTTAAAAGAGCAAAAAAGGAAATCCACTAGAAAATGTAAAGCAGCAAACCCCTGAGAGATCTAAAGGGAAAGGTAGATCAATAGGAGCTGACATACAAGTCTAAACATGATTTTTCTGGTTATTATTAATTATTAAATCAGGTGATTAATCATTTTGCTCACCTAGGGGGTTTCCTGATTTTGCTTTCTTAGAACGTTACCGATTTTGCTCTCTTTAACGGGTTTCCTCATTTTACTACCTTATTTTCTGCTCAATTATTTTTATGGCTCATGTCTTTTGTGAAATCACAGATAAATAATCTATGGGACATCATTTCAGGAGTACACATTATTTTAACTATTTATATTTTTATATAAGTTTTTGAACCATGGTCTTCGGCATTTTTGTTAATGACCACAGTTTTTTAAAACCTCGAAAAGATTCGTATTCGTTGCATTAGGGATAACGTAATTTGTGCGCCAAACAAAGTTGTTTGTAGTTTTTGAACTGTTATTATTTCATGTCTTAAAATATATTCATAAAATATGTAGATAGGTTACATTTTAGTTAAATAATTAGCCATTCCAACGACCTGTCAAACAATAGGTGCCAGTGGGAAATTCTTGTATATCTAAGGGGGTAGCGACATAGTGTTGCGACTTGGACGCTATTTTTATTCAAAGTAGTAGTCGCCAAGCCTGCCAATTTATGAAGAAATGTATAGGTGGGTTTTTTAAATATTATTTTTATTGTGTTTGACATAAAATATTTAAATGTAATCCATTATTCATGATTTTACGTAAAGTAGATAGAATACACCATATGTCGCCACCCTTAGATATACCAAACCTGCCCACTGGTAATTCATTTGTTTGGAATGCCTAATTGTTTAATAATCAATTCTGTCAATCAATAAATAAAAAAAATAGAGGTTAGATATTCATTAACATGTTATTTCTATTATTTTCAAAATTGTATTCATGTAGAAGTACCTGATTTTGATATATAGTTACATTAAAAATATTATGGTTACATATCTTTAAACTACTTTTTATAACCGGTAAACAAATTAAAAAAAAAACTATAGGTCTTTTCCTTTGCATCGAAAGTGTAGCACTGAACTACGCCACTTCTGAAAATATCGTTCCATCCATACAATTTGTATAAATGGAACGATATTTTCAGAAGTGGTGTAGCTCACTTTCGATGCAAAGGAAAAGACCTATTATGTCAAATTATGTCACACTAATACAGCGAATTAGGCATTCCAAACTGAATGGCTACCAGTGGGTTTTGACGGGTTATGATATAGCAAAATTATGGCAACCCTGTAGGCCTGGTGATTTGACAAGGTCAATGAAATAGATAGTTACATAGATTCATCATCCATATTTTTCAAAATAAACATAAGCTTATGCCTTGAAGTAAAAAATGTAAGCAATTATTTTTTTTTAATGTCTAAAGGCTAAAAATTAGTTTTAGAACACATTTTTTCTAAACCGATTCAAATTAATAAATATTTGCCAGGCAATATGGCCGCTCGTAAACGACCAGCTTTGAGCAATCTATATAACTATATATGTATCATTGACCCTGTTAGTGACAACATGACAACAGGGTTGCCATATCTAAACTGTCATTACCCACTGGTAGCCATTTGGACAGGTCGTTGGAATGCCTAATTAGAAATGGTATTGACATTCCAAACAAAATTGTTGCCTGGTGGATTTCACGGTTCGTAGAAAACATGGTGGCCTCATCACGGTTTTTAAGGACACAGTGACGTCACGGAATGAAAACGTGATTTAACAGAAAATATTTTACTTGGTGTAGTACATTAGTTTTTTAAAAAATCTAATATTTTATTGTTTTTTAGTGGTGTTTATATTTTTATTTTTGAACTTTGTTCTGGTGTTAGAGTTTTTACAATATCGGTAGTGTGATTTTTTGAAAGACAAGCTACAAAACAGCAAGGAAAAATCATGTAATGATTTCAGGGTCGGACTGGCTAAATTTGGCCCCATCGGCACCACGAGTAATTGGCCCCCCCATCCTACTCTTTTTAACCAACTCGATTATTCCCATAAAGATGATTAATTTCATTTAAGACAAAAATATTTAGAATTTATACATTAAAAAGTAGTGTTAAAATAGTAGGTAGTCCACATTCATTTGTTTCAGACTTATTTATGCAGAGGTCTGTTTTTACATTTTTTTTAATATCGGGGTATATTTGTGTGAAACTCAATAATTCGTTTTTTAATTTCACATTATCGATCCCAATCTTTTCTGCAATATCAGTAAATTTGGAGTCGCTTAATAAATCCAAGTTCTTAAACTTTATGGGGTCAAGGCCTGAAAAATCTTCATAAATTTGTCTGTTGGCTTCTAATCTCTAGCTTATACTTTGGAATTGCCTGATTAATTACTGATTTAAATACTTCAACTTCAAATTTTTTTTATTGGATCAGTAATAACGGAATCTTCAGTTGTTTCGTCTACCATACGTTTCATTTTTCTTAACCTTTGTTGTGACAGCTCATGTTCAATTACAATATCTTTGTTTCTAATGGTCTCAATTTGATTTATATAATTTAAAAATGCATTCGTCTTTTTAACAATTAAATCAAATTTGTCATACATTTCATTTAGCATTGCTATCGCATTTGTTACCAAATGGTATGCTTGGATAAAATCAATACCTTCTATCTGAAGATAATTTGAGGCGGGAGCCAAGTATTAAAATATTTTTATCATGATAAATGATATTAAAAGAGTTTCATATTTGAAGAAATTTTCAAGTAATGACTGCGCCCTAGAGCATGTTTTTGAGTCAAAATCTGTACTTTCAGCTATTTTTAATAAAACAAGTATCAACGTAGAATAAATTTCTTTAGAATGGTCGTCAAACGTGCCAAATAAATTAGCCTTACTTTTTGCCCACCATCTAGTTTCTCCAATTTTTTGTAATCTTTTAACATGGGTGTGAGTAGATTTTAACGTTTCCCATAAATGGACTCTTTTATATGACTCCAAAATAAAACATGCTGCTCGATTTAACAACCCCAAGTAAGATTTAATTTTTTGATTACATTGAGTGCTATCACAAACAACTGAATTAAGTATATGTGCATAGCACCATGTAAACAGAGATTTTGGTGAAAAGTCCTTAATATGGACTTGGAGTCCATTGTACTGACCTGACATATTAGCTGCGCCGTCGAAGCTACAGCCAATTATTTTTGTCTCGTCGAGGTCTAAGTTATTTAAAACATTAATTAATTTGGTCTTAAGAGCCATCCCAGTACTTATCTCCACTGGAACAATATCTAACAACCCTTCTTTTACTTTACCCTCACTATCTATATAGCGAACTATAATTGAACATTGTTCAACCACGGTTGAATCAATTTGAACACTACAATTTCCAGCTTTTTTAAGTTCGTTTGTTACTCTTAATTTAATTTCAATTCCGATTATTGTTATTATTTTGTTTACCGTTGTTTTGCTTAAAAATGTAATTAAATTACCTCGGCCACGGCTGTCTTTATGCTTTTCTTTTCTTGACAAAGCGTCCTTAGCTGGCATATCCACATGATGTTTAAATATATCGTCATATTTTGCCAATAGTAAAACTAGCTCCAGGAAGTTTCCTTTTCCTTCTGTATCATCATCTGTTAGATTATATGCACTCTCATTTTTCCCCCTATAAGCAATTCCTTCTTTCGCAATGAAACAAATTATATCAATTATTCTTAGTGTAAGCAAAGTCTATTTCTTGTTATTTCTTCTTTCTTTTTATCTTGCATATCCTTGTTTATAAAATTTTCAATGTGTTTACCCCGCCTTATAGTAAAATATGTATCCACTGCTTGCATATGGCATTGCGATGATGATTCATGAATTTTGACGGATTGATATACAGGGTGTCCCGAAATTAGACGGTCATGTAACCTACATCCTAAAATATGAGTAAAAGTTTATATAAACATAGGTCCGAAAACGTTTTGTTTCCGATATACAGAGTGTTAAAAGTGAAGTCCTGATGACACATTTTTGTAAATGTTTTCCAAACTTTTAAAGATAACTAAGTGAAATTTGGTACAAATGCTAAACTTTTTACGCTCTATGTAATGGACTAAACGCCAGTTTTTGAGCATCTTTGTAGGTGGGTAAATTAGGGGAGGGGCTTAGGGTTAAATTGTTTTAAGTTTTTTTCTTGACCGTTTTTTACATTTTTGGAAAATAAATATATTCTTTATAATAAAGCTACTTTCGTTGTATCTCGCTAGCACGCACCATATTAAAGAGAAAATCATTTGAAAATTTCATGAGAAGTTGATGTTATCTTATTCGAGAGTGTAAACAATAATTAGTAGGTATGTGGAATCAGAAATTTTATTTTTTTTAACTTTGGAAAACCGGGGACTAAAGAAATTTTAGAAAATATTTACAAAAATTTGCCATCAGGACTTCACTTGTAACACCTGTATCTCGAAAACAAAACGTTGTCGGACCTATGCTTATATGAATTTTTACTTCTAATTTAGGATGTAGGTAGGTTAAAATATGACCGTCTAATTTCGGGACACCCTGTTTATGCCGAAAGTCATTATAGCCTGTAATAAATGTTGAAGTTTTTGAGCTAAACGCCATACACAAGGAACAAAAGAATGTGTCTAACTAAATGGAAAAATATAACCAATTTCGACGAATTTTATCTTTATTAGATAGAATTCGAAAGTATACTTGCTCTACCTTAAATTTATTAGAACTAAGCTGAACTGGATGAGATTCCAAAAATAATAATTTGATTTCCATACTAGATTCTGCAGATAGAGGAATGAATTTGGTTAAACTTTCTTCATTATTTTCCCTTGGTTTTGGTTCTTCCTCAACTTCAGTTTATTCAACAGGTTCTTTATGTTTAAAATTTTCTTCACTGCATTTTGCTTCACTATTTTTAGCAGGTGAGTCATTGCTATTTCTTTCCAAAGTACTAATGTCTCCTTCGCAATTTAGAGGAGTATTTGCGCTTTTTTTCAAAAATAACTTTATATTAGATTAGGTTGGTGACTCTGCCGCTTGTAAAAGTAATTTTTTGTCTTTCTTCTCGTTTTTCTGTTCCACTTTTGTAGACTTTCTTTTTGGTATTGCTTCGCACATCATCCTCAGCCATCTAAGAAAAAAGTATTTCTATTATTTTAAATAAATATATCAATGAAAATAATTTGTTAAGGATTAAGCCTGAATTAAAATGAAAAGGAATCTTGGATGATTCAAAATTATACTTTTTGACTTAAAAGTAACACGGTATATTTTAATGGGGCGTACATCAACAACAAATAATATAATTTTCGAATATATATTAAAATTCTGGGTAATTATTTTTTGTCAATAATTTACTATTACTATTAGCTTACTAAACATACTTACTTTTAACTTTGATTTGATACACATCGATATCAATAGGCTTCCTAAATTCTTACTTAGTCCAAACAGTCCAAATACACAGGACAAAACAAGAAAGAACAATAAGAACATGCAGGCCTTGCGCCTTGCCTCGCTTTCGCAACAGTTAGGAATAAGTTTACCTAACGCAGAACGCACAAGACTAAGATAACTTGCACTTGGCGATCTCTATTAAACAAATTTTCTCAGCAGCCTAGACTACGTCTAGACGCACCAATATTGCTAGATTTCCTAGATTTCGTTGAATTATTGTAAACAACATTTTTATGATGGTGGTTTGATTTGTCTCTAGTGTTTGATCGTTGACCGTTAGCCCCCAAAAGGGTTTGGCCCCGTCGGCAAATGCCAGTCCGACACTGAATGATTTCCATCAAATTTCAAATGAATTACTTTTTATTTGAATTATAAAGATAAATATTATTATGTGAATGGTTTATTTTAAACATTTTGGATTATGGTATGGCCTAAAAGCTGAATTCGGATCATACTTTGTTTATATCCCGAAATATTTTGAAATGTTGGCAAGCCTGTAGTGTTGTTGTTGTCTGCCAAAAGTTTCAAATAATTTTTAATTTTTACAGACAAAAATCGTTAGAAGTAATAGAAGAAAGCCTAAACTGAAATTAAAGGCTTATGGTAAGATTTTCTAGTATTATTCTGAAAATATCATTCATTAAATTAAGTGCAGCTCTGTCCACCCGACATGTAAAAGCAGACGACATGGTTTCTTACAAGCATTAAACACAACAAAAAGCAAGAAAAGTCAAAGGGCTTTACTAAAAAAACCTACATTATTGAAAAAAGGGTTTTCTACAGGAACTTTTTAGTAAAATGTAGTTACAAATAATTTTATAGAAGAAAACAAGGACCCGTTGGAAGAAACATAAAATGTATATTTTGTCAGTTTCTAGGATGTATAAACAGTATAATATACTTAAAAAAAAACAATAAAACAACAACAACCCAGTTTTATTACAATAATCTATAAATATAGGTACCAAATTAGAGAAAAACAGTTTTATTTACATGTTTTCTTCTTTATAATGATTTGTAACTATGTACTTTTTACTAAAAACTTCCTGTAGTAAATCCTTTTTTCAAAAATGTATGTTCTTTTAGTAAAGCCCTTTGACTTTTTTGCTCTCGGTTGTTTTTAACGTTTATAAGAAACCATCTTGTCTGCTTTTAAATTTAGGGTGGACAATGCTGCAATTAATTTAAAAATGGTGGATGATATTTGCAGAATAATTACTCTTAAGTTTTACGATTAGTCTTTAATTTCAGTTCAGACTCCGGCTTGCCAAAATTTCAAAATATTTCGGGATATAAACAAAGTGTGATCCGAATTTAGCAAGCAAAATGTTTAAAATAAACCGTTCACACAATAATATATCTCTTTATAATTCAAATAACAAGTAATTCATTTGAAATTTGATGGAAATCATTACACGATTTTTCCATGCCGTTTTGTAGCTTGTCTTTCAAAAAATCAAATTACTGATTTTATAAAAACTCCAACGCAGGTGTATAGTCCAAAAATAAAAATATGAAAACTACTAAATATTAATAAAATATTAGATTTTTAAAAAACTGATGTACGAACCGCAGCAGAATATTTTCTGTCAACTCGATTTGCATTCCGTGACGTCACAGCCTTCCTTAGTAACGGACGAAGAGACCACCAAAGACACCACGTCTACGAACCGTGGGTGGATTTCACATAGTCAATGATATTTAGTTATATATTCTGATCATATATTTTTCAAAATACCTAACATAGACTCCTGCTTTGAACTAAAAATGTAGGTAATTATTTTTTTAACAATTCAAAAGCTGAAATTTAGTTTTAAAACACATTTTTGCTCAACCTATTCTGATTAATGAGCACTAAGGAGGCAATATGGAAATGCGTTCGGCGACACTTCCAATCAAGATTCTTTCCTAATTTGAGAATGATCAGGGGCGTACACAAAACCCGCCTCAATATCAATATATCATTGACCCTGTCAAAACCTTCGGGCAGCCATTTGGACAGGTAGTTGGAATGCCTAATAGTATCCTTTTTGATATTTTATTAATGGTTACGTAATTAGGCATTCCAACGACCTGTCCAAATGGCTACCAGTGGGGACTGAAAGTTTAGATATGACAACCCTCTTGTCATGTTGTCATTAACAGGGTCAATGATACATATATAGTTATATAGATTGCTCAAAGCTGGTCGTTTGCGGGCGGCCATATTGCCCGGAAAATATTTATTAATTTGAATCGGTTTAGCAAAAATGTGTTTTAAAACCAATTTTCAGCCTGTAGATATTTAAAAAATAATAATTGCTTACTTTTTTACTTCAAGACATAAGCTTATGTTTATTTTAAAAAATATGGATAATCAATCTATTTAACTATCTATTTCATTGACCAGACCTACAGGGTTGCCATAATTTTGCCATATCATAACCTGTCAAAACACACTGGTAGGTAGCCATTCAGTTTGGAATGCCTAATACGTGTACGCTAAGTTCAGGGCCGCACTTAGAAACTTTTTAGTCGTTAACAAAGACGTCGAATATAATTGTAAATAGTAGGTACATTTTTTTATACAGAAATTAAGGTATATTTTTATTTCAGGTGCTGGCCGTGCTGCTGCATTCCGTATTGTATGGATTCGTGTCAAGCAAAAACCCACTACTGTCCAAACTGCAGGGCTTACATCGGAAAATTCGATAATTAGAACTATTCAAATATCTGTATTAATTCCTTTAATATTAAAGAGAAATATAAAAGCCTACTGCCAATTATAAAACCTAAAACACGCACATTACACTTATTCACAAGAGGGCCAAAATATCAAATTGTCATATATGAAGCCAGAATAAAGCAGATTCAAAATACCGTTATATTTTTATATTTATAAATATTATATAAAATTGTTATTTTTATTACAACTATATTGCTTATTATATAGAAATTATTTGTAATTTTAAGATGTATCGCCATATATTTTGTTATAAATTTCAAACATTTTAACTTATTTTAATTCAATTTTAAATGAAACAATAAATCATACCTAATCATATGTAACTATTATTTTTCCCAAAAAAAAAATATTATAATAATTATTATTATTATTATTATTATTATTATTATTATTATTATTATTATTATTATTATTATTATTATTATTATTATTATTATTATTATTATTATTATTATTATTATTATTATTATTATTATTATTATTATTATTATTATTATTATTATTATTATTATTATTATTATTATTATTATTATTATTATTATTATTATTATTATTATTATTATTATTATTATTATTATTATTATTATTATTATTATTATTATTATTATTATTATTATTATTATTATTATTATTATTATTATTATTGCGCATTTCCTAGGTATATTCCAGGAATACTATTACAAATTAAAAATTTAATCCAGGAACTGAATGAATAAAAATAATAATAATAATAATTATTATTAATATTATTATTATTATTATTATTATTTTTATTATTATTATTATTATTAATATTAGCGGCACTAAGAATTTCTTGGAAGGTACTGGTGCTTTCAACAATTATTTCAGTCTACACTTCAGGATATTACAATTTTTTAATAAAATGTCAAAAGGTCTCAACTAAAATTTGGGTGGAGGCACGATGAATGATATTTTTATAAAGTATTTCAACTTAGCTCAAATCCCATATATAAAGAAGATATGGCATCAAAAGCGACGTAGTTCTAAAAAAAATCCATCAGAGGTCGTTAAAAAGTGAGGTACCTTTTGACCATTATAAGATTTAGATAAAGCATTAATGTATCCAACTTCAAGACGATAATTTTTAACACATACTTTAGTTATTCTCTTTATGATCCACCCCGTATTAATAATGTATAGGTATAGTAAACATAAGAACAATAATATATTTTATTATTTAATATGTAGCTTGCCTTACCTAATTTAAAGATCTCACACATATGAAAGAGCAAAAATTATGTTGAAATGGACTTTTCCCTCTATTAATAGTCTCTAGTACTCATGCGCAAATTCTATTTCCGCTTAAAATCACCAAAATTTGTTGTCGTTATGTTTCCTACCCTAAGTTCCAATTTCACATCCGCAAATGTCATTTTGTTCTTGCATTTTATAGTATTTGTAGGGGAGCCACTGGCACTTTTAGATGTGTTATGTGCGAAAGGCAAAATTACAATTATATCGTACATTCTTACCTTAAAGAAAATAGAATCAGGAGCCCTCGATCAAGACGTCTTAAAAAGCCTGTGTAGAAAATACTGTCATAGAAGAGCAAGCTTACTTAAAACTTTTTTTATTATTTACATCAATAATTAATAGAAAAAATTTGCTGCCGCCTTCTTGAAATTCGATTCACTGTACCTGCTTGCTTGTTGATAGGGCATTTCACCGCCAGTTCTATTGCTGCAAACGATTCTCAATAATACTATATATTATTCTATCACAGAAAAAATTACCCTTGCGTAATAAAACATAGTATGCGCTAATTCAGTGTGATGTCATTTTGGTTTCACTGACATTTAATTCTAACCAAACTTTTAACAAAAACATCAATAAATTTGACGTATACGTTTTTACTGTTTTTATTTTATTTCAAAATATTGTTTACAGGTCATAAAAAATAATTTAAAGGTATGTAATTGGTAACTAAACGATTGTATATTTGATACATGCTATCTACTTACTTTAGGAATATATTTATAATAGTGAAAAAAACGATATAATTTAGGTAAACAAAACGAACAAAACGCACTCAAAAAATGTACTGTCACTTTAATTATCAGTGGAACCATAATTACATCATCACTGAATTAGCGCATTGTATTAATTTTATTTGTCAAACTTGACAGTTTTCCACCTCTGCCAAGATGACAGCAAACTTTTCTGTATTTTTGTTTTCTGTATTGGCTTTTTGAAGAAGTCATCATCGAGCGCTCCATAGCTGGTGCGTCTGCAGCAAAGTATTTCCATCTTCTACAAGGTAAGAATTGAACCGATACACAGAAAAACACCAAATTTTAAACTTAAGCTTTGTTTCAGCGTCCAATGAGCTGATTAGATTTTGGGAAGTGTCGGAACATCTGGGGGGGTACTTTATAGGTGGTCATTTTTATATTTTATGGAATATATCTGTTATTTACGTTTGGAGAAGAAAATTCTTCAAATAAAAGTTACTTCTAATATAATTATCTATAATTTTTGTTTTATGCAAAATTTTCCTAAAATGGTCCGTATTCGAGAAATTTGACAAAATGTAAAAAACATAATTTTTTATAAAAATTGTTCAAATAAAAGTTGTTTAAAATATAATTCTCTATAATTTTTGTCCTATTCATAATTTCTCTAAAATGGACCGTATTCGAGATATTTGAGAAAATGTGTAAATTTCGAAATTTGAAGAAAACTCAAAAACGGATAAAGGAAAAAACATTAAATTTTAAACTTAAGGTTTATTTCGGCCTGACGTGAAATGATTAGATTTTGGACAAAGTTGGAACATCTGGGGGGGTACTTTATGGGAGGCCGTTTTTATATTTTATGGAATATATTTGTTATTTATGTTTGGAGAAGAAAATTGTTCAAATAAAAGTTACTTCTAATATTATTATCTATAATTTTTGTTTTATGTCAAAATTTCCTGAAATGGTCCGTATTCGAGAAATTTGACAAAATGTGCAAAATTCTGATTTTTATGAAAATTGTTGAACTAAAAGTTGTTTGCGATATCGATTTCTATAATTTTTGTTTATACATGATTTTTCTAAAATGGTCCGTAATGGAAAAGTGCTAAATTTAAATTTTTCTGTATTTTCGTTTTCAATGAATATCTATAGAAAAATGTTTCGAGGTAGATGTATGTGTAAAATGTATATATTTAGTTTATCCTCTAAACATTTATAGAGATGCTGCAATAGGTTGTACAAAATAACCGGAAAATGCCTATAATAACTAGATAGGAAAGTCATGTGTTGGACACATCAGATTTTTTATTATATAAAAGAGAGGTAGTATATAATGCCCATTTCAAATTTGGATCATTTATGATACCAAGGTATTTTGTTGTGTTTTTCATTTTAATTATAAAGTTGTAATTTATTTGTATGTTGAAAAAAGGCCTTTGTAAATTACATTGCTCTCTATGGATCTACTTTAACACAAAAATAGTTTTGTGGCTATAAGTTGCTCTAACCTATCTTCACAAATAATTAATATATTAAACATAGTAAGTGGTATTAATATAACATCAAGTAATTTTTTAAACAAGTAATTTTTTTAAATAAAGTACATGATCTCAAAACAAATAATCTATAATAAATGCGGATAAAACGAAGGATAAAATAACAATAAATTAAGGGAAATACTTAAAAAGGGCAGATTTAAAGAGTATTATCACAAGAAAGTAAATCCGTTCTGTTTATTTATCAAGTATTGTTTGAGGTTACTTTTGAATACATTTATTGTTTTTTTTTTTTAATTTCTGTAGGCAGTCTATTAAATTTTTTAAACCTTTAATAAAAATTGTATTTTGGAAACTTTTAGTGATGGCTTGCCGTACATGAAAGTCAGATTGGTTTCTTGTAGTATAGTTGTGATATTGCGAATTATATTGAATTTTTTCTAATAGATCTGATGCGATGGTACTATGTCATTTTTATTTTATAAATAAATATCAGTCATGTACTGAACATAATTCTGAACTGAAAGCCAATTTATTTCTTTTAACATAGTTGCAATACTCATCCTTCTGTCCTTTATTAATAGAATATAAATAGGCGAAGTAAGAAGCGCAAATATTTTACATGAGCAGGCTTAAGAGGTAAAGGGGCCAATTGTTATTGGATAAATTGCTCAAACAAGTTTTTAAACCCTAATCAAAAGGCGATATAGAATGGTTTTAAAAATCAAGGCTTGGGAAAATAATCACATGGTTTAACCTAAGTAATGCCAATGCTTCACAAACCAAAAAATTCAACGTGCTAATACTACTATCGGCTTTCTATATTTCGTTCCAAGTTAAATCATTTCTCGTTTTTGTTACGCTACTAGTTTACCCTTGTGGGCCTCAGTCTCGATAAGGTGGGAACCACCATTTTAGCGTCTCTCGAATTTGTTTCTAATTTTTTGTACTTCACCCAAGTTCTGCATTATAATATCCGTGTCAATAGAAACCCGAGAAATGCTGTTTTATGACATTAAAAACTGTATAAAAGTAAAAGTGTATAGTGCGTGGCAAACCTCAACGGATAAGTTGCGTGTGGTGAACCCGCTTGTGAAACCGTGGCTAAAGTTACCTCCCGATCGAAAAACCGAAGTTACTATAACGCGTCTAAGACTCGGTCATACACATGGTCATCTGATCAGTAAGTCTCCAGATCCAATTTGTGAATATTGTAATGTGAATCTAACGGTAAAACACTTTATGACTGAATGTCCCCAATTTATTCAAGAAAGAAACAACCACAATATTTCTAAGACTCTCGATCAAGCTTTTGGTTTGAATTGTTCGTTCAAAAATATTATTTCATACTTAATAGCAACTTACATTGTAAATGTATAATATGCTGTATACACTGCCTCTCGCTAATAACTTTTGAGGTTGATGCGAGTTGTTTAATAAAAAATTAAAAATATCCGTGTCAGTATGAAATTGATTTAAAGTTTCAGTAAAATTATAGAGAGATGGAAGAGGAGGGAAAAATTAACTATTTAAACAAGTGTTTCGCAACTGTTTGTTGTGAGTTATGTTGAAGGATTCTGGGCTACAAATAAATCTTGAATTATTCACTAAATGGTCCGACATTTCTGTATTTTTTGGGTCGTCTGTAGGGTTGCCAGAC